TGGTGGCAGTGGTTGCTGGTCATGATGATAAGCTGCCTGAGAGCTTCCCCGCAAAGCTTGATCGAGAAGGACAGGGGTAAAATCTGGGGATGGCACCGCTAATAAAACCTCAAAGTACCTTAGCTTCCATCACATTTGGATACCAGGTTAAGTGTCATTGTAGGTCACCTTATGATCTTAGTGCAGTATCTTCTGGTATCTTAATTTGAGTTACTTAGAAGGTTTGTATGGCGAAAGTATCCGTGGATAGCGTTTCCCGGCAGTCATTATCATAGGTCATGGTGTGTAAGGTGTCATGAGACAGTTCGACAATCGCTATAACATTTCATGTTTCAACTCAACTATTGGCTGATATATATTTATAGTTGGGGCAATCGAGCACTGCATGTTACGTGGCCGTATCGATGTAACAGTATCAGCATGATTGTTGATGACATGTCATCTACGTTCTGTCTGCTGACATCAATCCCGTCTAAGGTGGAAGAGTAGTTTTGTGGCCTGGCGTAGTATTGCAACACTATTAGCATATTAATTGTGATCCGTGATACGGAATACGAATATTAATGTTTTTGCTGCTGTATGGTATCTAGTCTATAACAGAATGACTGAGAAAAGAAGAAGAAAAAAAGAAGCATAGGGTAGCGAGGTTTGTTGAGGGAGTACTCCGTAACCACAAGACGTGCTAAGCATTCATAATCTGGGAAATTTTAAGAGGGCGAGACCTTGGACTAACAGTAAGCAGTATATGTCGACATTTTCTGCCCAGTGCTGGTAGGTGGTGAATCATGGATGTCTACTGATGTATAGTCATGATTACAGTTGGAGATCAAGACAGTTAGACTTATCATCAGCTCCAGTTAGTGACGTCAGATCTATACCTGAATCGCAAATGCGTGTCAGCGCATGGAATACCCCCATGACACTGTATCTTCGGTCCATACGCGCATAGAAGGCTTGTCATCAGGGATATTCGATACGTGGGAAGACGAATATTTTCCATTGGCTGAATCCGGCTCAAGAAGTCAAGTTACCTAGTTGTCATGCCTTCCCGATAGCTTTATCGAGTCAAGGGACCCATATTTAGCGGCTATACCAGCCACTCATAATTTACCCTACGCCCAGCTGCACATCTCCAGTACCTGCCTAAATGGAACGCGGGGCGCCACTCTTCGGTGAAACAGCTTATCCCGGTCGCGCTCATAAGCGTCGGTTGTTCAACAAACCAGCCTCCAACATCAACATTGTTCTATCACCAGACTGCATCGTGTTCCCATCGCTGCAGTTATGGCTCCTTCTTCTCTGAGGAGCCTCCTACTGGGGGCCTTGGCTCTTTGGCCTGGTCCGGTCATGGCTTCCCCGAACTCAACTTACTCTCAGGCCGATCAACTACGAGCACAGCTAGCTCTCATGGGTGATCGCCCAGATGGCTGTCCTCCTTGGTGCGTCCATGCGATTCCTGATCCCCACGAAGTTACATTGCCCATACTGATATATTCATAGTTTCAATTGTCTTCTTCCTGCACACACGTGTGCTCAATACGCTGGCTGTAATGAGTTCAATGGAAAATGCGCCTGTCCTGAGGGATTTGGCGGTGATGATTGCCTCGAGCCACGTGCGACCTCCCCCTGTTATCATCAGATAAACCTCAACTGACTTTCTCCATTAGTGTGCGGCTCACTTCCCAAGGGAAAGGACCGCCCAATGCGATCTGGCACATCATGCGATTGCGACGAGGGCTGGGCTGGCATTAATTGCAACGTCTGTACTGACAATAAAGCTTGCAATGCACTTATGGAAACCGGCGAAGGCGGTGTCTGTTACCAGAATGGTGAGGTTGTGAACCACAACTATCAGATCTGTGATGTCACCAACGAGAAGATCACGTCTTTACTCGGCAAGCAGCGACCAGAAGTCACGTTCACATGTAAACAAGAGGACCAGACTTGCGATTTCCAATGTGTGTTCGGACCTTCCTCATTTGCGCACGCTGCTAACTTTGATGCGAAGTTTGGGTAGATGCTATCGAATCTTTCTACTGCCATCTCTCCGAATGCGATTCGAGCGCCGATTGGGAGCAAGAGAAGAACACAACTTCCTACAAATGCAATAAGATCAGCTGCAGTTGTATTCCTGATCGGATGCTTTGCGGAAAGGATGGATCCATCGATCTCACAGACTTCCTTGACCAATCTATTCAAGGTCCAGGACGATTCGAATGTACTCAGAAGCATGGCGGTACTCACGACTGTGCTTTCAGAGAACCCGAGATGGATGCCTTGATTCTAGCCCTGATTGGCGACTCCAGCATTCTTCTTAGTTGCCACGCTGGTGAATGTCTCTACGAGACAGAGGTTCCAGGATATAAGCGTCCCGTCAAGAAGATAAACACACCGCTTATTGCCGGCGTGATTGCGGGCTGCTCTCTCTTCTTGGTTGCTGTTATTATCTTGACATGGTATCTGTCGAGGCGTAAGTTAAGCTACGGAGCCATCCGCTTGGAGGACTCAGATGACGAGAGTACGAAACTGATGACCGACCACAAACCCGCTTCCCTCTACTTTGACGATGTTGCGTACACTTTAAATGGTAAACAGATTCTTACTGGAATCCGTGGTATTTGCAAGCCTGGAGAGGTCACCGCCATTATGGGTGCGTCTGGAGCAGGAAAGACAACATTCCTCGATATTCTCGCACGAAAGAACAAGCGTGGACAAGTTAATGGCAACTTTTACGTCAACGGCGAGAAGGTCAACGATAATGATTACAAGAATGTTGTTGGGTTTGTTGATCAGGAGGACACCATGCTCCCCACCCTTACCGTTCATGAGACCATTCTCAATAGTGCTCTACTTCGACTTCCTCGCGATATGGGCCGTGCTGCCAAAGAACAACGTGTGGTTGAGGTCGAAAAGGAACTAGGCATTCATCACATTCGTGATTCCCTGATCGGATCTGAGGAGGGTAAGGGGCGTGGTATCTCGGGCGGTGAGAAGCGACGTGTAGGAATTGCTTGCGAACTGGTCACCAGCCCTTCGATCCTGTTCCTCGATGAACCGACCAGTGGTCTTGATGCGTACAATGCGTACAATGTGGTTGAGTGTCTCGTCACTCTGGCGAAGACATACAAACGAACCGTCATTTTCACAATTCATCAACCTCGATCTAATATTGTGGCACTTTTTGACAGACTCGTGCTGCTAGCACAGGGGCGCACCGTTTACTCTGGTCCTTTCAACCAATGTCAAAGTTATTTCGACGAAATCGGCTACGAATGTCCTCCTGGTTTCAATATTGCTGATTATCTTGTTGACCTTACCATGCATGCTGGTAGCACTCAATCCATTGATAACGGTACTGTCGGCCTTGACAATAACAGTGTTGGGCCAAGCAGCACCCGTGCTATCAAATCTGTGGCAAGCATATCAGGCACTACTTCGGGAGACGACGACGCCAGCTCGAGTCGACCTCAGAACCGACGTAGAGACTCGGTCAAGGTTCGCCAGGATCGCGAGCTCTTCACACGCAGAAAGACGGTTGACACTGCAGCCTCCTCAGATGCTGGAGGTGAGGACAATGGTGCCTACCGCCTTCATCAAAACCCCGTCGACTCTACTCCCGCAACCCTCCTTGACGACCCTCATGACTTACCTCCAGCAGCAGCCACTGGCACGGACCTCGACATTATGACACGTGCATTCGTCCACTCGGAAATTGCTTCATCAACACATGATGAGATTCAGCATGCCATTCAAAACGCGCAAGATGCCAATGGCCCCAATGCAAATGGCTACACTGTTGACGGACCCAATGTTCATGTCAGTGCTGTTGGAAAGGGCTATGCTCGAGTTGGCTACTTCCGTCAGTTCATCATTCTGTCTCAGAGGACTTGGAAGAACTTGTATCGAAACCCGATGTTGATGCTTACCCATTTCGCCATCGCCATCGTGCTAGCTGTTTTTTCTGGATACCTTTTCTATGGTCTCACAGACGACATCCCCGGCTTCCAGAACCGACTTGGTCTCTTCTTCTTCCTGCTTGCTTTGTTCGGTTTCAGCACACTCACAAGTCTTAACGTATTCGCCACTGAACGACTTCTTTTTGTTCGCGAGCGTGCCAACGGCTACTATGCGCCAGCCACTTATTTTGCGGCCAAGGTACTGTTCGACATAATTCCTCTTCGAATCGTTCCCCCCATCCTCATGGGTTCCATAATATATCCTATGACTGGCTTGGTGGCAGACTCAACGCACTTTTTCAACTTTATATTGGTGCTGGTGCTCTTCAACATGGCTGCTGCGGCTGTTTGTCTCTTTATTGGAATTGTCTGCAAGGATGGTGGAGTCGCAAACTTGATTGGCAGCTTGGTCATGCTTTTCAGTCTTCTTTTCGCTGGCTTCCTCCTGAACCACGATGCCACTCCTAAGGGTGCCCTTTGGCTCCAGACGCTGTCGATCTTCCACTACGGCTTCGAGTCCCTTATTGTCAATGAGGTTCTTCAACTTACACTCGTGGACAGCAAGTATGGACTGGATATCACGGTGCCTGGTGCGGCCATCCTCAGCTCCTTTGGATTCAACAACAATGCCATGTGGCCTGACATCAGGAATTTGGGTATTTTTGCTGCTGTCTTTATCATCTTGTCTTACGCTGCTATGCATTTCTTGCTCGTCGAAAGACGATAAATCAGCATAGAGGGATTGGCCATTTTATAAGGCCTCAGAGTTGAAGGAACGATGCAAGTGTCATTGCTTGCGGTGATAATATACATAGGATGTGTCAGGCATTCGAGTCATACTGGGCGTTTGGTTGGATGGCGGCACGTTCTCGTTCTTTCATGGATTATTGTATCAAGTCTCACAATATATGTAGAATCGCATTTTAAAGAAAAATTTGAACGCACACATAAGTCCGTGGTAGGCCGCTTCAAGAAGACATGATATTTGTCATAGTTACAGTAATACATAAGTACAAGTTATTTTTACAACCCAAAAGGCATGATCTATTCCATCTTTCCACCAGTGAACTCTTCGGCAATTCTCTTCTGTCGCTTGACGGAGCGGTCGTACTCGGTTTCGTAAAAGTCCATAATCTTGGTGGATACTCCTGTTGTGGTTTCCAACATGTTGCCAATCGATGTTGGCTTGCCCCAGACGTCCCATGTGTTCTGGGCTGAACCATATCGGCCGATGTCGAAGCCTTGCTTGTGGAAGAAGTCTTGGGCAAATATGGTCTCGATCTCTTCCTTGAGCTCATTCTCATTGACAATGAAGTTGGATGCATTGATGTAGAGCTCCATCAACGCATCGCGGCGAGCCTCTCGCTTAGCTTCCTCAATGGCCTTGACTTTGACGCGGCTTTTTTTGGCACGATCGAAGCGTCCAGCGTCAGGGTATGTCTTAGTGTCCAAAACTGCCTTCAACACTGTGCTACGGGTGAGGCGATCGTCCTCTCGCTCTGGGGCTTTAACAGCCCGGTGGTTCTCGAGAAACTTGTGGCTCACACGCTCGTTCTGAACAGCATCACGACGGTTCCTTCGTACCCAAAGTTCCTTCAAACCAGTTTCCAGGTTCTGCCGACGGGAGTTGGCCATTGTTTGCTTCCATTCTTGCGTCTCGTTCTTGGGTTTTTGCTTGTGGGCCGGCTTAGGAACGGTTTGCTTGATGTAATCGGCTCGAATCTTGCGGTCACCCTCCATACGAGGGAAGATCTCTCGAGGTACGGGGAGGTGACCTCTGACCCGGGGAAGCTTCTTCTCTTCGGACTGGGGTGGTGCAGGCAAGCGGATATAGGAGGGAGACTCGGGAGGGACTTGTTCAAGAGCTTGAGCCGAAGTGGAAAAGGCTCTTGAGGCCGAAAGGAACTGACGAGCAGTCGCCCTCGGGCATGAAGTCGTGAGGCTAAAAGACATTTTTAGAAGAGCGTCGGCCAGGTCGAGCACTGAGGAGCTCGAGTTAGATCGCAATTGACGCCGTAACGCCGTCGTCGAATCGGCTTCTGCAGAATCAATCGCCAGACTGAGAAAATCGACGTCGGATCAAATTTGCGGATTATTTGGTTCCGCGCGTGAGACCCCTGGCATTTTACGCCCCGCCACCAACCACCGCAGGAAGTTAGTGGGGCCCTTTTCCTACTAAGAAAAAAAAAGTTCTGGAGGAATAAATTTCTGGATTGTTCATCCTCATCCTCTCTCTTTGTCTTTCTTTGTCGCCAGTATCCTCGACTAACTCCCGCCAATTTTTTCGCCATGGGTACTGGAAAGAAGGAGGCCACCCGGCGTGAGCGCCAGGGTAAAGGTGGTGATGGCCTCAACAATGTCAGAACTAAGGGAGAGAACTTCTATCGCGATGCGAAGAAGGTCAAGCACCTTAACATGTACAAGGAGGGCAAGGCGCAGAGAAATGCCGAGGGAAAGATTGTCAAAGCTGCCTCCTTTCAGTCGCGCGACGTTCCTAACGCCCGCATCGAGCCGAACCGCAAGTGGTTTACCAACACCCGAGTCGTCTCTCAAGATACCCTGAACGCCTTTCGTGAGGCTATGGATGAGAAGGCCCGCGACCCCTACCAAGTTCTTCTCAAGTCAAATAAGCTGCCCATGAGCCTTATCAGAGATGGAAAGGACACCGAGAACGGCATCAAGCAGCACAAGGCCAAGATGACCGTCGAGACCTCTCCCTTCGCCGAGGTCTTCGGTCCTAAGGCGCAACGCAAGCGAGTTAAGCTTGGTGTTAGCAGCCTGGATGACCTTGCTGGTGACACCGAGAAGAGCATGGATACCTATCGTGAGAGGCTGGAACAACAGAAGCTTCTCAGCGGCACATCAGGTGATCCAGAGACTCTTGGAGACACTGAAAAGCCTCTTACTATGTCGATTGAGCCTGTTTTCGATAAGGGTCAGAGCAAACGAATCTGGAACGAGCTTTACAAGGTTATCGATTCTTCAGATGTGGTTATCCACGTTCTCGATGCCCGAGACCCCGTTGGAACAAGATGTCTAAGCGTTGAGAAGTATCTCAAGGAAGAAGCCCCTCACAAGCACTTGATCTTTGTCCTGAACAAGTGTGACCTGGTCCCTACCAGTGTAGCAGTAAGTCTTTTCTTTCTCTATATATCTTCATGCCCCCCCCGCTATACCCCAATGTTCTTTGTCAGGATTTGTCCCTTTATGTACCATGGGACCTGTCTGTTATAACATTGGGAGAATAACCGCCAGTCTCGACTGTCGTCAACGTCTTGTTGTTCGGCTGATGTGTGCCGTTTTGGTTACCATCATGAGTCAGGCCAAGTGTCCGATTGAGTTGAAGTCTGCCTATGCCATTAACCAATTGCGGGGCATCGATTGCATACTTCTTAGTGATGACACAAACATCTTGCTGCTTGCAATTCATGTTCCTTTTCTTTATAACTTTGTTCGAATACTAATTCGATGTAGGCTGGATGGGTTCGAAGTCTCTCTAAAGAGTACCCTACTCTTGCTTTCCACGCTAGCATTACGAACTCCTTCGGAAAGGGTTCCCTCATTCAACTACTTCGACAATTCTCCTCCCTCCATTCTGATCGAAAACAGATCTCTGTTGGACTGATTGGTGGACCCAACACTGGAAAGTCCTCCATCATCAACACTCTCCTTAAGAAGAAGGTCTGCACTGTCGCTCCTATCCCAGGAGAGACTAAGGTCTGGCAATATGTCAGCCTGATGAAGCGGATTTACCTAATAGACTGTCCTGGAATTGTTCCTCCGTCAAGCACTGATTCACCCACCGACTTGGTCCTTCGAGGTGTCGTGCGCGTGGAGAAGGTTGAGCATCCGGAACAGTATATCCAGCCTCTGTTGAACCGGGTCAAGCAGCACCACATGGAGAAGACATACGAGCTCAAGGGATGGACAAACTCTACAGAATTTCTTGAGCTCCTGGCCCGCAAAGCTGGAAGACTTCTCCGTGGAGGTGAGCCTGATTTGGATGGTGTAGCAAAAATGATTCTCAATGATTTCATGCGAGGCAAGATTCCATGGTTTACACCAGCGCCAAAAACCGAGGGTGAAGCGAACGGCAAGGTTGGAAACCGTGAAGGTAGACTTGGAGAGATGCCTCGAAAGCGAAAGCAGGAAGAGACTGTTGAAGATGAAGATGCTTCTGCCGAAGCCCAGCTTCAACGAGAGGCTGAAGCCGCGGAGAAGGCCGAGCAAGAGAGCCCTGACGGTTCCGATGAAGAATCAGAGTTCGAAGGCTTCGGCAGTGACACTGAGGAGGCACGATCAAGAAAGCCTTCGTTTGGTGCTACTGTGGATGGTGAAGATAGTGATGGTGATAGCGCCGACGATGATGTGATATCTATCGGTGGTTCTGAAGCAGAGGATGACAAACAAGAGGAAGAGGCACCTGCAGCTAAGCAGAGTAAGGGAAAGAAGACAAAAGGCGGTCCTCCAAACAAGAAAAGGAGGACATGAGCGGCCTGGAGTCGATCAAGTTATCATAGTCTTTATCTTCATTCGAGGTACTTGCTTGCGCGTCCTCAACTAAACCCTTAATGATACCCACGTTAGTACTCGCACACCTTGAACTTCGGTCTTGCAGTGATAGGCATCTGTCTCAACTGAGATAAGCAGAATGGCTGTTACCTTTATCTCCAATGCCACTGAGCTATGTCTTGGCAGCTCTTACTATAAGTCCTTTGAGACGAACTACGGAGCACTTGTTCAAAGACTGAGCTAGGGCATATTATTTGGCAAAATAACATTCATACGTGATAATACATAAATCAAGATACGAGGCATAGAAAAGACTAAGAAGGCAAAAAGGTTGCCTCCACACAGGATTGAACTATGGACCTTTGCATTACAAGTGCAACGCTCTACCACTGAGCTATAAAGGCGTCTTGATAAATGGAAGTCAAGAATTAGAACACAAGAAGCCACAAACAGGCGGAGTTTCTAATTCTCGCAAAAGGATCAAAAGGATTCCCTCTACAAGTGCAATCTCCACCACTGAGCTACAAGGGCAATTACTACGAGGTAATCACTGTCCTCGAAAGTGTAGATGTCGAGCCAGCGTGCCTTGGAATACCCTCCCACCTCACTGACTTTTGGCTTACCTCTCTTACATACGTCTACGGTGATCTCATTGACGAGGATATTGTATCACTACACTTCGTAGACTAGGAGATGCATTGCAAATACTCTCTCGAAGAAACCTGATGCATTAGTCGCTCTTAACAATGAATGTCTGCGTAGATCTTGTTGCTCTTGTGCTGTACTGTAAACAGAGTAACAAATACATTAAGCCGATTTATGATATTGAAAACCTCTCGTTTATACCATATTATTGGTCCTGTGGCTCTGAATTGTGTTAGTGATGCTGTATATATGTACCCGTCGCCTAATCTATCCTCGAGACTCCAAATATGTACTGTTAAGTGGTGTAAAGACAATCTCGTCCCATCGAGGAACAGAAGCAAGGCAATGATGAACATTGAAATAGCATTCTTTTTCGTTTGAACCCGACGTTGAGAGTTGTTTCAGTTGAAATAGACATCTTAAGGCACAACATAGCACAACATAACGGTGTTGGTTCAAGCCTGGGTATGCGAAACTAGCCGAGACAATTTCTGGTATATGTGTTTGATCAACCTCACTCGACCTATACGTGCTCTTCGCTATCGCGTCTCCTGGCCAAGTGTGTCTCCAAGTATAATCCATGCATCCTCGACGTCTTGTGGTATATCAATATGGACGATCGAGCCTTTGCCTCGTGGCCCGTATCCATTCTCATTGTCTCTCATTCGTGGAATTTCGCCAACAAGTAGAGACATCAGTCGTTCCATACTCCAAAGACCCTCGTTTTGGTTCTTATCAAACTCAGCAATGTCATACCGCAAGTAAGAAGTGAGGCCGCCCGCTTGGTTCTGAGCTCTAGAGGCTCGAACCGACACCTTGGGCACGAAGGTTGGCCAGCCGGCAAACACAGGAGTACCACCCATCTTATCAGAGTAAACTTGCTCAAAGGCAGCAACCGTACGCCGACACATGGTGGGGTCTTGAGCGACGACAATAGAACATGGTGATGTGTATCCATGCTGGTCTAATACCTTTCTCGTGTACACTGCATTTAGTGCACAATTCGTTGAGGCATCCTCGATCAAAATAGTGAGCTTTTGTGCTGGGTGCTTTCCCGTGGTTATGGGGTTGTCATTTTCAACTTCGAAGTGGAAGAATTGCTCGACAATGGCCTGGAAGACCCGAGCCTCTGGTTGTCCCTGAACTTGGCTAGAAATGCCATTGTACTTGGGATGTCGAGCTACAGCATCATACAGCAATTGGGTCGAATGCCCGATGCCACCGGTGATGACCAGAACAACCGATTCATCTACTACAGAGGAATTAGTCGTTTGTAAGATCAGTAACGTTCATCTTCTCTGTCCCCGCCATGAAAACCTACCCAATGCCTCTACCAATTTCGTCACCGATGATACGACAGTATCTACAATTGATAAAATTGCAGAGCCGCACAAAACAACCACCGCCACAGAACTTGGGCTTGTCTTGACATTCAGCTGCTTCTTGGTCGCTGAAAAGCCGAAGAGGGTGCGTTGCAGATCTGCCAGAGTGCAGACTTGCTCGTGAGCAACAAATTCTGAGATGATGTTCGCAGCGCCAGCCACTTTTGAGGCTTTATCACGGGAGATATCCATTGATTTTGATCAAATATTTGCTGCTCAGAGTCGCGCGAGACAGTTGTAGACCTCAGTGACCAATATAGAGAGGTGTAAAGGTAACAGCGTGAGCAAATGTTGACGAAGCGGAGTATCCGGAAACGGAAAATCCGACTGGCGATGGTCACAATTGGCGGCGTGAAGTCTCCCCTTATTCTGATATCGAGGAAAACTTTAGCTGGGTGCCCAATCTAATAATGTTCACATAAATGAGTTTTGTGTCGTCTATACTCTAGTTGTTGCGCATATCATGTATCGCATCTTAAGTTGAAGTTCTCCCAAGCACACCGGTATATGATGCGCTGAGCCATAGGAACTCTTAGAATTCGGAAGGCTTGGACAGCGTGTATGGCTTCATTTGCGCCTCGGGTGTTCATCTACGTCTCAGAACAGTGTTCATAGAATACGATTGAGAGATACCGCCTCCTTTCTCTGTGTTCAGGTTGCTAAAAACACTCGCTTGTACCATCACACGTGGACGTTGCTAGTGAGTTTTGGTAATGTAATAAGTGAGGAACTATCTCGCTGATTTTGCCTGATGAAAATATAGTGGCGAGAGACTCGATGTGGACTTGTTTCATTGCGAAGGGACTTGAGACCTGGCCATCTCTTTTCGACTTTGGACCAAGTACCTTAGGTATTGATGAGTTCTTTGATCCATGAAGCCGCACAATTTCTCAGAATCTCTCTCCTCGCGGAACACGATAGATATAATTAGTACTCTTTAGTTGGTTGCGATTACGAGACATGGAGCAAAGCCTGACCAACGACCCAGAACCACCAAGAGCATCAAATGATTCTAAGAGCTTTGCAAGTTCATGAATCAAAAGGAGCCAGACTGCTATTTTCACTGTTGAAATAAGCGCTACCTAAATCTAACGGTAGCAGTGTCTTCGACTTCTTAACGAACATTATTGAACCTAGGAAAGAACCACTTACAGGAGTAGACTTCTTGTTATAGTCATGGCTCATGTGAATCTTATCCACAGCCCTCTTCTCGATCAACCTGAACTTCAATGTTGCATTACCCGGAAGAACAAGGCGTGCCAGAAAAGAAAATATCACCGTTGGGGTAAGGTTAGGCTGCGAGTTTGCTGGGCCTTACTGTGTGCCTTGCATCCATGCCTCGAATCCGGCTGCCACTGCGAGCTCAGGATCTCTGCCAGTGGCATCTATCACTCCACGCATCGTATGACGACGGAATAGCAGAACAAGGCTGGTAAACAATGTTACCCCACTGCGGACACATTGATCTTGTCGCCTCTCCCCGGACTCCTCTTCGTTTGTTCACCTTTCATCCTCTTGTTCTGGTTATGGGAATCGTGTCAAGAACATCAACAGCAACTCTAATTTCCTTCACATATCACCTATTAGCCACTGTATCCCTAAAGAAGCCTCACACGAGGTAGGCGAACTTTAAAATGAATTCCGTCTCCGCACCTGGAGAGCCTCAAGTGGTGCGCAACGGCCTACAATCGCCTCCTGTCAACACCTCGAAAGACATGGCAAGCCGCCTCGCATCCATACCACACGATGCCCATTTCAACTATGATGTTATGTCAACTGGATCGAATATGGTATGTATTCTGCAGCGGCAATGGCTTTTGCGAAAAGAGACACTGACCATACCTCTAGAAGTCGAGCGGAAACCTGATCGATGTAACTGAGGATTTGGCCAACATCGGAGACAATAATGCTTCTTAGGGTTCGTTCACCTACACGGCTATGGCGCTGCCTTGCACCGGAGTTGAACGCTAACACGTACCGATAGTAGGAGCATACAGCCCGTCCTCACAAGGTACTATCCAAGATTGCATCACCGTGGCTCCCCGTCCTCCTAAGACGCATATGGCGCGAGGGAGCTCATCCGCTGTTCTTCGGCGAGGTGAGGACGGCCCAAGGTACGATCTCACAACACTTGCGAATCCTATCCGACCAACTAGCCGACCTCATGTCCCTATGTTGAATCTGGAACAGGTTTATGACATCTTCAATGACACGCCTTGGGGAAATCAACAAAGCGACGCAGTAGGAAAGCAGGATCCCACCAAGAGTCGTCAAAACGACAAAACTACTCAGTCTAGAGCCTCGAAACAAGCAAAGAGAAAACCCCTTGGACCTCGAGCTGGTTCGGGAGTCTCCAAGACACCCCGCCTGCTCAAGCAACCTGCCACGCAACTCAAGCGATCTAAGAATCTTCAGGGGAGGAACCCAATCGATCTCGTTGCTAGAGGAGCCACCCCAACCCCAAGTAGCCCAAGCGACCCGGCCCCTTACTATGAAGTTGCTCGTGCTCCCAATCTCAGCAGACCTATTCCCGACTTTGACCCAGCTTTGATTTCTACTTGTCCAAAGCCGCTATCGCCTTCAGAGATGTTGGATGGAGAGAAATACTTCCTCCATCAGATGGCCACGGCTCGCCATCTGGCCTTCAACGGAGTTTCGGGCCCATACCAGATTGGACACTGCTTGTGTGATGTCCATAAGGCAACCGGGAATCTAGTCAAATTTGCACGTGCCTGCACCGCTCCAAATGGCGAAAGATTTTGGCGTCATCTCATGACAAATGCGTCTATAAAGGCTCACGATGGGTCCAGAATGGCAGGCAAGCCTGTTGCGCTCTCAAACGGAGCCCTGATTTGGATGGCAGATGAGAAGGGTAAGGCTATAGCTCCCGAATGGACATTCAGCGAGCCCCAGTTCTTGCCTGGATCCTCGGACGATCAAGAAATGGGAGGATATCCGAAGCAAGCTCAGCAGGAGACCAACCCAATCCACCCTGGACTCAAGACTACTAGCAAAGATCCCTTTTGGTGGTGAACGACACCACATCGTTACCAAGTTGTATGGACGGAGTGAAGAGCCCCGAAAGAACATTTGTGCACACCCCCGGGAATGGCCACATTCAAGCTTGGGATCTACTCGAGTCCCCTTCAGTCTCTGTATTCATAAAGCGAAGTTCATACGGAGTAGGAGTATAGCACTGTGTTTGGATTGTTTTGACCCGGGGGGTCTTGGTTTATACGCTGATGCATGGCCGGAGCTTGTTGTTAGTTGATCTCTGGAGTTGGACTTACTCGATTTTGAGTTTTGATGAAACTCTGCCTGGCCATGATATTAAGTGGCGATTCATAGAATTGGAAGCAGGAATGCGTTTCTACCATTACTAGGTAATAATAATGCTAATTGCCAATGACTGAGTGGTAGTTGTCGAATCAAGTGGTTATGATTGATGATTACGGAAGAATTGCGCACCGACCTCGATAACATCATCGAAAAAGGATGCCCACCCTAAGTTGGTTTGGACGCCACTTCTGCTCTTCCCACGCCAACACGCCGTGTTTGTGTATCATCAACTCTTCTCGTCCTCATTTTTGCGTCTATGTATCACTGTTAGACAAAATGGGTTCTTCGTCTTCGAAAGTCGCCAAAGGTGCTGCACGAAAGTATCCTGCTCGTGCTCCTGGAGCTGCTCTCCCGCAAGCAGTAGCACGCCAACCAAGGGCAGAGGCACCAAGACCAAAGTCAAAAACCTTGGGCAACAGCGCCAAAGACGATGGTAAAACAATTGGAACTTATTACATCTACTGCAGCAACTAACACGTATCTGTAGCTGTTCGTGCTGACGCCATGGACCCCGATTTCCCAACTGGCGACTTCTCACGTCGTCTACACCAGATGGGAATCGCTGACTCGAACCCTACATATTCTCCTTCGTCTACAGCCGCGACCCCTCTCGGATCTTCATCCCCTCCAGGACCTAGTTTTGCACCGAGTCGAAGCAATCCAACCCTCGTAGCACTCTCAGCTCGAGATCGACTACAAGACGAAGCGGAAGAAGATTTCGCAAATATGGGACGCGAGGGCCGACGATTCCTAGATACGAGGACTTTAGTGGATGCTATGAAGTTTCGCGATCGAGGCATACATGAGAAGGATATTGAGTCAAGATTAAGGATCCAACCGGGGCTGTTGAGCAAACTCGGACAGGAGAAGACCTTTTCGCATGTGACAAGTCCGAACTGAGGGCAAGGTACGAGGGAATAGATGGAAATTTATTACGATATCCGCAAGGAAGGATGTGACAAGTGTATTATGGTTGTACAATATGATATTTCTCGTCGCTCAGGAGTGGCAACAAACGATACCCAAAACATACCCGCAAAGGCCCAGGTTGCTGTTACTGTTTTGCTTTGACCCAGAGCCTAACTTATATTCTCTACCACGCAGCATGTCCACCATCCATGCGAAGATCAGCACCCGTCATGAAGCTGCTCGCATCGCTCAAAAGAAAGACAGCAGCACCGCGATACTCTTCTGGAGTGCTTAGACGGCCGAGCATGTTCTCTTTGGGCCACCTCTCGCGACGATCAGGATAATCGTTGAAGAGATTTTGAAGCATCTGGGTCAGAATGTAGCCAGGGGAGAGGGTGTTGACACGGATACCATGTTCTCCCCATTCCATTGCAAGATTACGGGCGAGCTGTACAACTGCAGCTTTGGAAGGGTTATACACGCTGATAAAAAAGGGTTAGTAGCTGGAAATCAGAATCGGAAATCGTGCTTACGGCGCGAGCATGCCCTTGTTGGCAATGGTTGCGCTCATACTGGCAATCATGACAATACTGCCAGGCTGTTTCAGGCGAATCATCTGACGAGCAGCTGCTTGGGCAGTCATGAAAGCCCCAGTGAAGTTGATGCCCATCATTTGTTCGGTTTCTTCCATCGAGTAGTCGATGGCTGGTGTTTCGTGGTTGATACCCGCAGCAGCGATGAGGCCATCCAGACGACCTGCGCCGTTGGCGATATCCTCGAATATGCGATTGAGAGTTGGGACATCCCTTACATCGACTTGATGATAATGAAGTGAGGTACCAAGTTCACGCCCTTGCTCTGAGACTTGTGAGAAGTTTGACTTTGGATCCTCAATTGGCGAGGGCAGTCTATCAACGGCGTGGACTATCATAGTTAGAATTTAGCAATTGATATACTATTGCTCTTAAAGGTCTCTCTCACCAGTAGCTCCGGCTTCAAGAAGAGCTTCAATCTGAACAAGACCTAAACCTCTTGCGCCTCCCGACACGACAATGACTTTGTCTTCGAGGCTGAACTCTGGTAGTAAGTGAGTCTGACTCTGCGTCGTATTGCGTCGAGAAGGAGTTTGGTGAAAGGCACGAATAACTACTTGGACATATCTCGTTGTTTGGCGAGGAAAAGCTTGTCTCTGGAGAGGCTGGCGAGCCAGTGTTCGAAGAATTGAAGAGAACTTGTTCATTGTGGAGGCTTATGAGGCTGGCGATGCCACAGATGCCTACAGATATTCTAGGATAGACTTCGTTCAGTGGCAGCTCGGGATGCTTTTGTACGAAAGTCAATGGTAGCTCCATATTACATGCGATAGCCATGGGGGTGCTCAGTACGGATATTTCTAGGGATGTCGGTATGTTCTTCGTCACCTCTACTGCACTACAAAGAATTAGTCACGAGGGATATTCATGCCCCAGAACGGACACCATCATCAATTCAGACATTGTGAGGGTGTGTACGAAGCGAATGTGCCTCCGTTTTCAGAATGAAGTCGAGGACAGGCCAAGCTTTCATATCCCCGGAGCCACTAGGACGTTATTGATCATCCCGGTGAGGCCCGGGTTTCCTTGCATGGTTGAATCAGGTCCTGGCTGAGCAAGGTTCGCCGTCAGCCATTTGACCCCTGACCGTGGCTTACACTTGATCTCCAGTTGCGTGTGAAGTTTTAGGTGCAAGTGTGATGAGCATATACTCTGACATGAACGTCTCCCTCAGAGAATCGGTTGTCCTATGACTCCAGATAGAAGAAGTCAAAAGAGAGACCGTTGCTGAGGATGCAGGTCAGAGCATTTCGGGTGATGGTTGCCCGCCCCTAGCTTTTGAGCTCCCGTATAAACAACTGTTGAGCTGCATCTCAGCCCTTGAATCCAATTCGTTCTCCCGCAGTAGCTCTGAATCTGGCATGGTGTAGAATGTTGACTGCGGTGAAGGTGGTTCGTTCATTTACTACAACTGCGAAGATCTTTTGTTGGCATTACCTTGAGAATCATGACATAGACAGTTGATGCATGATGCATCGGCCCTGGTTATTGAATGAACGAGAGTCAGTCTCAGGCCCTGTACCCTCCAAAACGCCTGGATATGTGCCGTTCACGGCCGACCTCTATATGGATACCAGTGCGACACCGCGTCACGAGGTATCGTTGAAAAGAGGCACCCCGTAGAAAGAGGCCCTCTTGGTCTCATTTCCTCGGTGTAGATGGCGCCGAGGCAGATATCACTACTACGCCTTGCCTTGCTCTAAATAGATCTACACAGGGTTCCTTGCTTTGTAACGAATATTTTGGTTGTTCCATCATCGATACTCTATAATGTGGATACTTCTAGAAACATAACGGATAACAAATCATTATTATCTCAACACGCTCAATTGGTATTTAGGTAGTCGAGGTATAAATGGTTCTTGCGTGGAACAAAATTTACATGTCACAAATGTGGAATTTGGAGGAGCATATCAGCAAGTGGGATAGAATGACCCCGCGTGCCGATTCTATCAATCAAGACTTGTTCTTGTAATTACCGAAAGAGGTGTCTTGCATTGGGGATAAGACCTCGTGGACAATGCTTGGGACGCCAGCCGGCATAGCTACCTTAGTTGCCTAACATGGTAACCGCGGAATCCTTTTAGTGCAACTATAAGCATTGCACGTCAACTATGATCACATAGACAGAGCTTATAAGTTAGACAGAAAGTCTACAAGATTCTGGCACGTTAAACTTGAAGTTGCGGTCATGCATAAAAGTTACTTGGCCAAGATTTGTCGTACGCATGAGCCACAGAATCCTGCAAGAGCCAATCATGACTCCCCAGCGCAGTATTCTAGAGCTCTAAAGCCTGTTGATCAGCCCCAGGATGTATTCCTGAAAAAGTCCAATGTCATACTGAGACTTGCTTTTCCTAAACCTTGCATCAGGTTCTCATTCATAGCCAATATGCTATTTACCAAAGCACACCCTGATAGCTGACTGGGCAATAAAGACTATCTGCGAGTTAATGCGATTCATATTACCAGCAACAGATGAAATTCGAGGCCTAGGTATGGCAAGCCTTTAAAGCAGTACATAGATCATCAACGAAGTAATGACTGGCATCTGAATTATCATGAGAACTGCCAACAATCTGAGTTAAATTGCAAAATCAAGGGGGCACATTAACGCCTTTTTCCAAACCTCCAAGCATGACAGTATGCTCTTTTTTTTTTTTTTTTTTTTTTTTTTTTTTTTTTTTTTTTTGGAGTTGCCTCAATTCGCATGTCCTCTGTGACGACCTCTAATGAGGCCTTCGTCAGCCGTTAACAAAATGATCAAAAACATAAACATATGAACGAGATAGACCCTAACCGATAGCCTTTTGAAGTTGCCTTGCACCAGTCTTATGCTTTGTTTCATTTCCACCGCAGATGAGGTTGCTGCCTTCTAAGCACTGTCGATCCACTGGTAAACAGTGACTAACGTGGTGTAGACCATAGCGATGAAGCCAACGACCATGACAACAACGTCAATGACCTTGGCCCTGGTTGTCTGAGCAGCTCCCTTGTAGTGCAAGTAAGCTGGGTAGATGTAGACCAAGGGAACACAGGCAAAGCTGCCAATCAATGCCACAAACTTATCTAAGTCACTGGCACCAACTATACTGACACCGACGCATACGCCTACAAGAAGGGTTCTGAGAGCATTTTTCTTCCATTTGATTGCAGCACTCTTCTTACCAGTTGCACGCTCACCAAATACTGAGGTTTCGATAATACGGGCAGCGGGGAAAAGCTGGACAGGATCTCCGGCGAGAACGGCAATTGAATACAGGAACTGGACTGCGTTGACAAGAGGAGAATCCTGAGGGAAGTTGGAAATGACTTGAATCTTGGTATCCTCGCCAAAAGTCGCATAGCAGAGTGCTCCCACAGAGGTGAAGATGATCGTGATGATAAACATGACCAAGTAAAGGAGGTTAGGGAAGTGCTCGGGTCTCTTCATGCTTGACTGGATGGGCAGGATAAGTCCAATTCCTTCAAAAGTGAAGATACCCGAGCCAATGGTCAAGGTGAAATCTCTTGGGTTGAACAGCTTCACAGTCGAGTCCATGCCACGCTGAGAAAGTGCCGCAATGTCGTAGTACCAGATGTACACGATTCCAATCAAAATAAAGACATCGGCGAGAAGGGCAGCGGGTCCAAGTTTTGAGATGTTTCGGATCAGCGCAAGAGGGACAAGGGCGACCAACTGCAAGGCAATCAGACTGGGTACACTGAACATGAACTCGCGGTGGTTGGCGGTCACAGCGTCAAGAAAAGCATAGAGATTCTCAGCTGTGAAGATGAGGCCAGCGCATACAAATCCAAGCTGGGAGACGGCAATCGAAGCGAGAACCAGACTTCTGAATCGAGGCCCAACAATGGCTTCACCCAATTCTCCATAACCGCCTCCATAAATCTGTCGGCAGTCAAGAAGAAGACGGAAACATCCGCAGTTGACAAGGGACAATACAATGAGAGTGATTGATGAGAATAGGATGCCACCATTGCGGAACGCCTTGGGCAAGAACATGATTCCAGTTCCGATGAAAGCCTTAATGAGGGTGAAAAACGTCTTTGTGGTTGTAGCGTCGCCCGTCTTGCGCATTCGTTTAGAGCTTCGTCTTCTGCCAAGGAGGGGTCGAAGTTCAGGTGGCTGTTCCACGTCGCCGTCTTCTCGATCATCAATGGCAGACTCATCTTCGCTGTCGGCATCTTCGAGATCTTCGCCGGCAAAGCTTCCGTATAGGTCGAGGAAATCGACAAAGTTCTTGGCGACAATTGTGTAGCCACTCATGCGTCTCTGCCGGGCACGTCTTTGAAGGTGGTATCGTCGAAAGCCGCCGGGTTCCCGCTGCTCGGAGTGGCTCAATTCGTCTTCGGCAGCGAGGGGAGGAGGTGTATGATGGGAAAAGGTGGCAGCGCGGCGGAGGGAGTTGGCCCGAGCCTTGATCTTGAACATGTCGCGATGCATGTCGCCTCCTTGTAAAAGGAGCGAAGATTCGACGGGATCTCCTGAAATGTCGTTGTTGTCATTGCTGGCAGACCCCGAAACGGAAGGGTTGGCAGGACCAAAGGCAACATCGGGCTCGGCGGAGTAGCCATCTGGGAGATGCCTGTCGAGGATGGCAGCTTTCCGCTTGCTTGTCTCGCTGCCCAAGCTGCTGGGTGTTCCGTCAAAATTGGCGAACTCAGCCATGATTGCGGGTTTTCAAGAGGAGTTTTACAGTCGTGACGTACTTCCTGCAGAGCTTTATGGCGGTTGCTGCAACAGGGTGAACAGTAAATGACAGAAGATGGAGTCTTAGAATGGTCAATCACGAGTAGTCTTCAGCTGTGTTAGCCTTCACTGCAAGTGTCAACAGACATCCGCTGGCGATGAGAAAGAAAATTGTATAGTTGCAAAGAAAACATTGAAAACGGCGAACAATCAAGGGCCTCAAGGTTAGGTCGTTCGGTTATTGTATGACAATCGGTGTCGGTGAATGTCTCCCCCGGTACGCCTAGCTTCTTAAGGTTTGGGCCAGTGGGGTTAACGATCCACGTGCATCAAGAGCGCAGAAGTACTCGATACTTTTTCAGCCCCATCTCCCAACGACGAATCGCCAATATCTACAATAGCCAAAAGTAAAAGTTACTTGGCTCGATCGCTTCTATCGAAAGCTTAATGCAATCACTTGAACAATTGTATTAGGTAGCTAGTATACTGCCTGAACTGATTTAATAAGAGCGTTATTTTGAGTTAATAATGCTCATATCACTCGCCTTACACGAAGTCTTCAGGTACCTTGTCCCCAGAACAAGGCAATATGCAGCATTAATATTAAGAATCTTAGCAATATTGTAAGCATTCTAAGATTACACTAAGCATACAAATATGTGTTTGCTAATACTATATTTTCTGTACTGTTGCCCAGTTTGACTACATCAAGTGATGCTTTTGTCCTTCATCAGGTGAAGGAAATGGACAAATACTGCCAACCTCAGAGGCTTGAGCTCGGTGATAATCGATGTTCTGAATGGCTTGTGGCAGCACAAGCTTTGTAGAATTCGACAGTTCATTATAGACCCTGTACAAAATGGGGTGAATTGGATTGTACCTAGGTACCCACTTACTAAGCAGTCACCCTGTTTCCAACACCTCCGAGTTAACCGAAGAAAAGCCGGCACAGTCTGGCAAATTTCTCCTCAGGCACGTAGTCCTAAACCCATTACGCTCGACGCGCCTGTCCTTTCGCAGCCACCAGAAAGCTCACTCATCAACCTCAAATTCAACCATCAAACTCATCGCAACCATTCAATATGAGTTTTGTCCACCTAAACCCCCGCCCCATGCTCGAGAAGCTTGTTGGGAACCCAGTTCTTGTCCGTCTTAAATGGGGTGAGGTAGAGTACAAGGGAACGCTGGTGTCCATCGACAGCTACATGAACATTCAGCTCTCCGGCACCGAAGAGTACATCGAGGACAAGCCTACTGGATCACTAGGCCAAGTATTAATCAGGTAAGATTTTTCTTACCCATCTTACATTCTCAGAAACGCGATGCTAACCACGAAATCCAGGTGCAATAACGTGCTGTGGGTGCGCGGTGCGGATTCAGGAAGCGACGCTGATGCCGCTATGACCGGTTAATCTACGTCTGCGGTAAAGGAACTGTGAGAGGGAGGGAAATGAGACACGATGCTCGTGAGGTTTGGAGAGCTTTGGTCTGATACGAGCCTAATTCCCGTGGTCCACGCGACACCGCCTTTTCAACCATCATCAAGCCTGTATCACAAGCCGAAACCATGTATTCATAGACGCCTCGTTGCGAGGAAGCAATTGCCGACCTGTTTCCAAATTTTCGAACTCATCTTGGGGCGGACGCCCTATGACGGTCCACAGTTTGGCAATATTTGTTATAGCCACAATCTAATTATAAACTGCGAAGATCACCTTTGTGTGTAACGAAACATGTCTTTGAATTTGCTGGCCAGCCTTGAGCTTGGCCCTCTTCTGCAAGCAACTCGATGCCCTCCTCGTACAAACAATGTCCCCACCATTGCCAGCAAACATTCAAAAATTGTTAGGCCAAGCCAAAAGCTCGGGGAACCCCTTGCTCAGCAAGGTCTTCCTATGGTATATGACTGACTAACAGAACTCTGCTTATTTAGGACCAAGAGTTATGACGGCACTTTTCTTACGGTAAGTACCTCTCGTTGTTGCCGACATGGGTGCGTTGATATGCAGAATTGTCGTGCTGCGTAAGGATGAAAGCCAATTCAACCAGTTGCGCTGGGCTCTTTTTCTCAAGACTAGTAAGTCAAACCACCATCGAGCGTAGGGGTGTTGACAGTTTTCAGGCAATCTGAGAAAGCTAGATGAATTGGTCAGCAAGGCCACAGAACCAGCTGAACTGAATGATGGTCATTTCAACGTACTTGATGAAGCGAGCGACATCGTCTGTTCCTTGTGGAAAATCCACCTTATTACCCGTCCAGAAATCACCTCCATCGGGAAGGTATGAATCAATGTAGCTCCTTAGCAGCCACATTGCGTCGTTCTTCTCTGGTTTTTGAAAAGTTTCAAGACGCTTCTGGGGAGGTTTCGCCCCCTTCTCCCCGTTAGGCGAGACACACAACTCTAGAGGATAGTCTACATCTTCATCAGAAGACTTCAAGAGACTCGATAACCCGCGTTCAGGCTGAGCTTCACCGCGAACTGCTTTCCAAAGGCGAATGAATTCGGTGCCGTTTTTATGGCTTTTCATGGCTGACAAGGGTAAAGTACATGTCGAATTGTTTATGGGAACTTTGATTGTCCATCCTGTTGTAGTTCTGATATCAATTCCCAAATCCGTGAAATGTATTGTACGCTTATCGTCTTTCTCAAGCGGAGCAATGAGCGGCCCCAGCTTGATGTCCGTCGTAATGATCAAGTTATTTTTCAAATTGAATCTGAGTTGAACTTTTCCGCGCTGTGACACGTTAATTTGGTGACCTTCGGCTTCATTCAGATTGAGATACGAGGAGTCGGCCACTTTCCCCCTCGTAATGTTGCCGAGCCACTGCATTTGTTGTATCATGAATTGTTGCGATGCCCTCTGGAGTTTTGCCCCTCTAGCTTCATCGTTGTCAGACTCATCAGCACCTTTTCTGCCACCGAAAGTCTCAATGAATCTGTCGTGCTCCGGCCGTGCCACCCCATCGTCTCTTGCAGTCTCCAGTGAGGCTGCAATCCAAACACCTTCGTCAAGTCCCTGTAAGAACTCCACCCAAGCAACCTTATCCGATAACCAGCCACATAGTTTCGGCACTTTGTGTTCAAATAGTTGTTCGGCCTGCTGGCGTCTGGTTATCGATGAAGGTTGGCCTTCGGTCTTCCCGCATCGTTCAAGGGCCAGTTTGAAACGATATGGGGGATGCACAGCAAGTGATTTGGTCTCGAATAAGGATGTAGGCATGTGGGAGGATTGCTGGTTCCGGGCGGTTGTAGAACTGCTTTCATGTACGGTAAGTTTAGGCAGTATTGAGGAAGAGTTGGAACCTGTCCAGGTCCGCTCGAGGAGAAACTTCGGCAATTTTTTAATGTAGCTGTGGATGACAGCATTCTGGAACGAATGGACACATTTAAGAAACTCATCGTTGAAACTTCTCAGATCATCCTTCCATTCAGGGGGGTGTACAGCTTGCCGGGGATTTAGCCCAGCAACCAAACCGCCAGGGCATCGATGGATGCTGGCTGCAACGGAAAAAAGCGCCAAATATTGAGTGACCTTGTTTCTTAGTCTCGGAGCATCCTGGAGCGACTCAACATGCCTGATGAAGTCGTAAACCTTCCTCCATCTTTCCAGCGTCTTGTCAGAAGGACCCCAGTTATATGACGTTAAGTTTGTCCTTGGGTCGACAAACCGCTCGTTTTCTTCGAACATATCTCGTGGTCTTTTCCTTGAGCCATGTTCTACTGATTCAAGAATCGGTTGAGATATGTCCTGGTCGGAGAAGGCACTGCATGAGAGGTGCTGGTCGAGCACAGCTTTTCTATCTACTGAGATAGTGAATAAAGGGAGTGAATGCCCTTCTGTTGTGGATGACCGGGTTCCCGATGCCATATTCTTGCAATACATAGTCTCCGAGGTAGTTGTCTTTGTTGTGACAGTAAATCTTTCTTTCGCAACCTGTAGACTCTCGAAGTATCCTGCTTGTTTCAAAGTTGCATCTGCTTGGGTGTGGAGTTCGACACACAAAGCCTGACGTGAAGTATGTGAAGTGTCATGGCTCGAAAGTAGACGAATTGCAGTGTCCATATAAACCCATGTGGCAACCCAGGGGTACCAGAAGACCCGGTCTTGACTCGATATGCTTGGATTTCTCGCAAAACTACCAGGATGAAGATGTGGAATTATGATGGCGTCGTAGATACTGTTTGGAATTTGTGCCAAACGAGGAACACCTACTTCGTTCAAAAGGCTATAAATATTAGTAAGTTGATTTCTAGGAGTTCCATAAACATACGATTTAGGTGGAGTTTGCCGCCGAGATGGTTGACAGACCCAAGCGTAGACATGCTGCCCAAGAGTAGCCACAATCAAAGGTTGAATTGCTTTTAGCCAACTGTCGAACGGCTCCTAGAGTTACGTCAGTAAATACAGTGACACCAGTTTCAGAACACACACCCTCGATCGTTGCTTATGCTTGGGAGCCAGCTGTGGCCAGTTGAAGAGTTGATTAAAGCTGAAGAGATTCGCTATAGACGTGATAGAAGCATCGCACACACCCGCCTCTAATTCAACCATTGAAGTTAGCATGCTTCTAACCAAGCTGCTAGTAGCCCGGATGCCACTCAGTATGTTGTTGCCATCATTGATGCTGCTAATAGGTGGTTCTTGTCCGCACAGAGCAAATAGTGAATAGCCATTAAGCCAGGATTTTGCGACAGCCTGGGCCGTGACCCCAGATAAATAGGTCTCGCGGCTCGCTTCCTTCAGCTTGTCTTCCTCGCTCCAAACTTTTGTTCGGGCGTAATCCTACCACCTGGCGAAAAGAAGATTGATATGGGAATTGACGTTGTGTGGTGGCTTGGTATAGCAGCCGTTAGCTTTGGTCGAGAGGTTAGTTTTACATCGCAAGAAGACACGCCCTTCCTCGTCATCGACCGTTATGACTCCATGTTTCCCCCCACGTTGGCGGTTGAGGAGGGTACGAAACCCAAAGAAAGCAATGAGGCAGCGTTCGGTTCGATCAGTGACGGAATTGTGAAACCGCTGAGATAACATATTCTGTCGGCCGCTCAGCTTGCTGAAATCCGACACAAAACTTCTATGGATTGTGAAAATCTGGTGGAGAGTAGCAATCTCGGGATATCGCTTTTGGAGTATATAGAGAAACATTCCAAAGAGTGACTGTGGTCGCTCTGTATTTTTCTGCACCCGTTTGAAAGGATTTCTTGGCCCGGAAGTTAACCCAACGTAGCGGACAGTTATCCGAGTGGTAGGCTCAATCCATCTGAGGAAAAATATCCATTCTTGTATGCTGTTCTCGTACCCGTGTAGTCGAAGCTCCTCGATTATTTGGTGAAAGTGTCTGGCTTCCATCGGCCAAGATCTGAAGTACGCAACTGAGCCGGCTTCAAGCCTCGGAGACAATTTTGTACATTGCTCCATCTTGATGATCTTCGCTAGCTGATCGTCACTTGTTAGCATTGGATGATTGAGCCAGTCGCGCATGGCGGTTCCGACCCGGTCATTCTCTCCATATGAGAGGATTCTATCGGCGATTAGTTCATCAATATCTGTTGCCAAGCACAGTTGGGTTCGTAGAAGCTGCCGAGGGACAGGCCCATCTCCCAAAGAAGACATGGAAAAGTTTCTACATCGGACAAGTATCTTCTTGCGCTCTTGTAAAGCGCCTCCAGAAAAGCTGGCGGACCTTCTCCTTGAAGAGCAACTGGCCATGATGTTCGATGATGTAGGCGCCGACTTGATGTTTTACGCCATTCGCAAACAAATTTGGGAATACCCTGGTGACTTGAAATTATGGAGAATGTGTGCAGTCTCAGTATGGACACAGGTAAGAATGAACTAAAAATAGTTGAATTTGTAGTTTCAGCATACCTGTATATAGTTTAAATACTACCTGTCGTTTAACAAAAGTCAAGATGGCCGAGTGGTCTAAGGCGCTGCATTCAAGACGCTGTCTTACCTGGTTAACTGGGAAAATCTGCAGTATCGAAAGATTCTTGGGTTCGAATCCCAATCTTGACAAATTAAATTTTTTTCTTACTGCGGAATGCTTGTAAGCATCAGTCATAAACATAGGTTGCTACGCCATCAGCATATAATTAGTCAAGATGGCCGAGTGGTCTAAGGCGCTGCATTCAAGACGCTGTCTTACCTGGTTAACTGGGAAAATCTGCAGTATCGAAAGATTCTTGGGTTCGAATCCCAATCTTGACAAAATTACTTTTTGAACACTCCCTTTTATTCCTCTTTTTAGTCATGCACAGGTTTTCCCTTATCTCTAGAGCTCCCTCCTTGTGAAGAACTTGCATTTAAGCCCATAGGGTAATATAAATCAGCAGCTGGCAAATGGTTGGTTGCGTCTTGACTTCCGAGAAGCCCAGCAGTGGGTCTCTGGAAGCGGGATAGGAACTGGGCGCTGAGTGCCGCGAATCTGGGGAAGCGGGGCTTTAGCGGACTTAGTGGAGACGCTTCAGGGTGCTTGTATGCTAGCGCCAGTGATTAATGGACAGCACGCGACTTGTAAGAGTGCAATGAATCGCTGCAAGTTGTAGGGGGGACAGAGAGTTTGAAATCCATGACAGAAGTACTTGCGAGGAATGTCGCCGACATGTCATCCTGCATAGACGAGCAAAAGGAGCGGGCGGCCAGACACGCCGTTTCCCTGTCTGCGTCCTGCATCTGTTCTCTGTTTTCAGTAACTGTGCCGCACGTTGTTGTTTTTGGTGCATGGTACCCCAGGTGCTGTTACGACGATTGAAATTAAGATAACAAAGCTGCGTATTACTGGAGACTTCACGGCTGTGATGCACTGAACATGAGATTCTTGTCCCTCTTGATCAACCCTTTTTGAAAACTGGGCTGACACTTGCATTTTACGCAACACACGAAACGAAGCAGGGTCACATTTGTTGATTTGACTGCGTGGAAAACATGGCCACTTACTGCTTGTTAGGTACCGGAGGGGTTATTGGGTTTCAGTCGCCCAGTGTCGGCTCCAGCTCCTTTGATTTAATTTCATTTGATTTGCCTCCCTGCAGAACCACGTAGTCACAATTCCCTATATTCCACTAGTACATGATCATTACGCTGGGTCAAGAAGCGCAATCTTCACAGCGAGGAACTATATATGATCATGTTTGAAGTCTCATCGAAAACAGAAACTTCCAGATCAATTTCGAGGATTGATTCGCTGCCATTTCTCTCAATCCGGGACGATACTGCACATCTTTGCTACCCAAGACAACCAAACCAACAAGCCCCCATCCCGCTTGGAACGGCTGAATCTCGACTCGAAGCGGCCCTCCGGCACCACGACCTCAATCTCCTGGATCTCCCCCTGCTCTTCCCCGCGTCTAACGACAATGACCTCTGAGGCGTTCGATGGCGTGGCAACCTTCACATGGGAGTTTCCCCCTTGTCGCACGTATCTCTCCGCCTAAGCTGCCCTGCCCTGCGCCTCGCGACAGGTACTTGACTGTTTTCAGAACCGCCTTGACCAACCGTGAGCAGCGAGCTATCAAGTCATGAGGGTCGAGGCTCGACGTAATGGAGGGCATGGACCTAAGGAGTGGCGAATCATCGTCTGTCTCGGCCTGCAGGAGAGTTTGAGGTTGGGGGGAGATGGCAAGCCATCCGCATTCAAGTGTAACCTTGTCGGTCAGCACAGTATTTGTCTTACTATGTACCGTCGCTTACAGCGATTTATGCTTACACCAACAAGTATCTCCCCGTCCGTTCTCAGATCTTCACCATGATCGGTTGCTTGTCTACTCGCCTGGATGTCGCAGTCTCCCTACCGTGCAGGTTGATCATCCAAGCGCTGTTACCCCGCTCGATCTTGTACAAGCAGTCATTCAGTCATGGTTGCACGTATATAATAGAGTCAGTAGCCGTTTCCTGCTTGTTCCTGATTTCTGTCTCTTTCATCCCAATCGAATCAATTCTATAAATACCCATTCTCTTCAACTTCATTCACACCGCCTCCACATCCTCCCGACAACTTCAACACCTCTTTTTCACACTTGTCTTACGAAACCATCAAATCCGGTCCAACACGTCGATTGAATCAACCAGCAGTTAGTAAAACCCCACAAAGTACCACCAAGCTCTACCTGACACCCAGTGCTAGATATCTAAACTCCCTCCACCACAAATACACAAGATGCCCGTCCGCGTTCCCAAGCTCCCCGCTGCCAAGCCTTCAGAGATCTTCTGCATGGGTGCGGCCGGTGTTGGCGTCTTGACACCTCTCTATCTTGTCATGCCTGGGGCTGAGGAGCGTTTATCCAACCAGACCAACAAGTGGGCTCCACGATGGGAGAGGAACGTCAGCTACTTCATTCCTCCCATGGAGAAGGGTGTCCAGCGCATCGAACCTCCTGTGTCTAGAATGGTCCAACGTGTTGAGGACCGTCTTCCCCTTGAAAAGATGGCCAAGTCAGTCGACAAGGGTATCCGAAGTGGTATCGATCGATTCAATGGAGAGACCAAGCCTTGAGAACATATTTTATCTATCTGCGACCAGCCAGGTTTTACCGCGCGGGCCTTTCCTTTGTACATTATCATTAGCATACCCCGGGTAGATGACACGTCGTTCACAAAAGCCCATTCATGAATTCCATGATCTTATCTTCACATGTACACCTTTTTAAACTTATGGTGACTTCTGCCTCGATGAAACTTCGCGTGGCTCATGATGCGTGAAGTTCACCTGGGTCTTGATCACCTTGTACGTGTTTTTAATCTTGTTGTATTGTTCGCATTGGTTTCGATCTCAACCTGCAGATTGTCCCAAATAGTATTTCATCTTTCACCATTCCAGGTATTAATGCCGCAGCTATAGCATGTCCTCGCGCCTGGATTAGTCTCGTCGTCCTTTTCAAAATTAATTGATCGCTGCCTTCATCCGCCTAGTATGCCGTATGTAGGTAAACTCAGCTCACACTCTGCAGACTTTGTGTGACGACCACCATCACGCCGTTTCCTCGTCCCATTCAATACTACTTGAAATCAGAACGAGGCTCGAGAGAGATCATTACAATACACATAAAATCAAGTCAACACCATACGACGGTGCATGTCCATATCGTGTCATTTGTACTGATAGTGATAAGATGTGGCTTCACGAGTCGACATTCTCGGTACCCTTACGCCACATTCATTATGTATCCGTCTCCCGACTTTGTATGTCCTGTAAAAAACATGTCTGCGAGATACTACACGCTCCCTATGTAATGGTCATGAGGCTTAAAGCATGTCGTGATGAGTGGAACCTTGGTGCGACACATCCTGGCTCGATAGCTTCAATCTAACAATCGACCCCAGCTGAGTCTGTGTGGATACCCTGACGAACAGTGTTATTAGAAGTGCCATGGGCCGACACCTTTTCCGGGATATCGTGGTCGGTCAAGTGGTGAGATAAGGCTATTCTGCTTTCACCTTCTCTCTATGGTCGCACCGCCTTCTGCGAGCTAGGACACTTGTAATCGACACCACATCAACTCCTTCAGAATGACCGCCTTGCTTCGTGGGTCCGCCTTCATCACAGGCGCAGCCTCCGGTACGTCCCGCTATTTGCTCATTACATCCTATCGCCCCGCAGTTCACTATGCGCCGTGGCGCGGCGTGGCCAAGACGGACTCGAAGCTACTCGTTTAGTGCCTCGTTAGAGTCTCCATCGCTTATATGATCGTCATTAGGTATTGGGCAACAGACGGCCATCGCCTTTGCCCAGCATGGAGTCACAAAGCTAGCATTGGCCGACATCAACCAAGACGCGCTAGATATATCCGCCGGATCTTTGAAGAAACAGTTTCCCCATGTCCATATTCTACCGGTGCATCTCAATGTTCGTGACTCCGCGCAGGTCAAGGAAGGGATTGCCAAGACAATCGGAGAGTTTGGTCGTCTGGACATTGCTGTGAATAATGCCGGTATCAGTGGCAGTGGACGAAAGACGCATGAGTTGGAAGACGATGAATGGCTCGGAATTCTCGATGTGAATTTGCAGGGTGTGTATCGATGTCAGAAAGAAGAGCTGGATGTCATGGTAAATCAAGAGTACGTCTACCAAGAGATGATGAATCGAAACGAGTCAAGAGCTAAATCCTCTCCTAGAGATTTGGGGCCTCGGGTAGGCCGCGGAAGGATCATTAACGTCGGAAGTATGTTTTCTGTTGTGGCACCAAACAACCAAGACCATACTGCATATGCAACTGCCAAGCATGGTATGTTGTGCAATACCTCTGCTGGTCACAGTCCGTTCAAGCACTGATAGACCATTAGGCATCATCGGCTTGACCAAGGCTGACGCAAACTCGTACGGGCCTCTAGGCATCCGTATCAATGCCATCTGCCCAGGTTATGTTGAGACACCTCTGCTAATGAGTATTATGAGTCGTGATCCAGACTCACCACTCGCAGTGGACTTGTCAAGAACTCCTTTGAAGCGCATGGCCACTATGGAGGAGGTAGCAGATGCCATAGTCCTGTTGGCTTCTCCCATGAGTAGTTACATGCAAGGTGCCAGTATGATCTGTGACGGGGGGTTTACCAGTAACTAGTCTAGACGCTCCTAGTCTGGTAGTCGCTAGACCAAGATCTAGGCATAATATATACCCGCCAACAGGAATTGGATTATCTAGATCATGCATGCATATCAATGTAGACTCTGAAAAGTCACGATTAGCTATGTTTACTTCACTGATGATGATTATATTTGACCTTTTTGATTCTAAAGCAGCACGTACTGTGGCTTTACCCATGAAGCCTTATTGGATTATCTGCTTCATATCTCGATATCGTGCTTTGGCTGCCAGAGTAATGGAAGTAAGTGAAGGAATTGTGGAAATGCTTCGCTGATTTGGCAAAAGCCCTGACCAAGCGTTTTCATTTGGACGTATGCAAAAGTGTTCTCATGACACCTAGCTTTAATGTACAATTTCATATAGACAGACTTGTTCATATCCCCCAAAGATAAAAATAGCAAAATCAACTTTACAAATCCAAAATAACACAACAGAATAAACCAGGCATGAACGTCCTTGAACACCTTGCAAAAGACACGGCAACGCAGCAATAGCACCTAACCAAAATTAAAAAAGTCAAGAGAGTAGTTTCTCTGCTCATCATTGTTCCCGTTATTCAGACGTGTTGTCTTTCCCAGACTTGGACCGTATTCCTGCATCCTCCCTGAACCTACAGGCCCAACGTTGGTACTCGTCCAGTTTGTACCGATATGAGGGAGCTTACTGGATGGAGACTCATGCATACCACCCTCACCACCCCCGAACTTCGGGGGCTCCTTTGCTGAGCTGAAAGCAGCCATTCCTGACATGATACCACTCGACATCGCGGCACTCTGATTCAATACCGAACTGGCACTGAGACCAGCAGTTCCGGTAGACCAGTCTATGGCACCATGAAATTGACCTTGCGGAAAAGAAGGCTGCATGTTGGGCAGGCCCCAGTTGTCATGTAATGGGTTGCCGAGGTTCGTAGCACTGAGTGTGCTGACCATGTGGCCTGTAGCAAGTTCGGGATGTTGCATATTGACCGCGTTCGTCCCCACCATCGTCAAGCCAAGATCCGGCTGGCTGTGCAAATTTATGGGGAAAATGGTTGTATCAAGCGGTGATTGGCTTTGTTGACCATACGTCAGAGATAGAGGTGGTCCCGGTTGCGATGTTATACCAGGATATGAAGGTTTCGATGAAGCATAGTCAGAGGTTTGTCGGTGAACAGAAGGACGCCTTTTCTTAAGAGGTTGGCTGAAGTCAGTATCGGCTTCTCGCCTGACAGGAACAACAGGAACAACAGGAACTGAGATATTGCCGTCATAAGAGACGCCGCTCCTCGCACTACTGGCACCAATACTAATGGCCTGCTGCCCTGCGCTGCCGCTGCGCGACCGTGAAACGTCAGTCATGCTGCTACGAATCTGCTCAAGTACAGCCTTGAGCAAGTCATCCATCCTGCTGGCCGGATGGTATGTAGCGCTCATGTCGCCAACAGCATCAGATAGAATTTCAAGATAGCCGATATATGTCTGGCGATTTGGCTCATTGCGCTGGTAGGCAAGTGCAGCAATCAACGCTATTGATGCAGTACCAGCATGCTGCATTCCCGTAATGAAAATCTTTCGCCCGTCGAATCTTTGACGATGCTGCCAGAATATTCGAGCCACGCGAATCGCTTGTTGAGTACATATACTGCGGGCCAACGATGTGCGGCTCCCATGAACCACGCGTTGACGGTCATCGGTAGACATGGACGATCCCTCAGCAGTGAAGTGATGCCCGGGGCTTTCTGAATTTGCCTTTCTGTCGCTTTCAGGACTTGGATGCGATCCCGTGCTCGAACCGTCGCCAGAAATCGAGCCATATTTAGCCCATGGTCGATGCAGTAAAATCATAGTTACATGATATTGTTGATGTAATAGGAAGAAACTGTAAGGAGCTGTCTTGACATTGCTCGGCTTCCATGCCATGCGGTCAGGCAATCGCCTATACCAATTTTGAAGTTGTCTGTCGAGATTAATGACCTGTAGATATCTGTTTTCCTCGGCTTCATTAGTCGCAAAGCCGCCGGTCTGTTCCGTCACTTTACTGGAGTTGCTCAGATCACGTATTTCGACGATTCGTCCGGCCAATTCCATCAACTCAATGAGCTGCTCGTAAATTTCAGTTGTCAAATCCATTCTAGGAGCATCGAGCCCGAAAGAAATAAGCTGGGAAAATCGGTTTGATAAAAGGTCGACGTCTTGGCTTTTGATAGCCAATGGCCTACCCAGAAACAACCCCCAATATCTGTCATAGATCACACATGCCTGCATGACCATATTTCGAATCTTTGTGTCTTGCTCGGACATGCTGCTGGTGCAATCTAGGTGAAGGCCAATATCAAAAGCAAGGCGATTTGCCATTCCTAGATACAGTTAGCCGAAAGAAAATTCAAAAACATGGACATTGATCGAGGCTCACCAGAGTACATCCAGCCGGTATTATCTCTACCAACACCGCATTCAAGATCCCCAAGCAACAATAACGCCTGAACACTAGGGATACCACCAGGACGCTCGAGCTCGATGTCAAGCATGTGTTTGGCTTCTCGATGAAGAGAACTTTCTCGTGGACTAAGTGTAATCTTGCGCATATCATCTCGGTCCATATCGGCCACACGATACCCCATGGCCAAGACTGCGATGTGAAGAAAATGAGAGTAAAATTTTGAAGACTTGGACATTCGGTCAGCTTCGAAAGCATCTCGATCAATGATTTGAATGACAGAATTATAGTAGTGGAAGAAACCATCCACGAGATAGTCATGTGTTTCCAAGCTCAGAGATTGAATCATCTTCTCTGCTCTTCGGATTTGTTCCGAGGGTTCATGCGCATATGATAGACTTGTTGATTCAGCATAAACATGGCTGTTAGCGGTGGGACCAAAAAAACGCAGCCTTCCGGAGATTTGGTCGAATGAGAGGTTGCCCTTGGTCGATAAAAGTCGATGGATTATATCCTCTTGCTTGGGATCCAGAATGCGAAATGGCGAATCTTCTTTTGAACGAGAGTACGCTTGCTGATTATCACGCGAATTTGTCGTCGCAACTTCACTCTCACGTGTCGTGAAATCTTCGTTCTGATAGTCCGGTGGAGAGTGGTCCTCGCTCCCAAGGGACTTTGAGTCAGATTGCGGAGATGGGTCAGTATTGCCCGCCGTAGTGGCTACGGCATCTTGATCGTGCCTTGTTTTGGGAGGATGAGTCGCCGGAGGCGGCACCACACCCTTTTCCAGAAGCAAGCCTTCAAGCATTGAGATTCTGTCTGATAAGGAGGACATGTATGCTTTAGATATAGGACTTGGAAAATTCATTAGCCTTGACCCATGATGGGGCTGAAAGATATGAGCTCATACCGTCTACGTTCATCATCATTTTTAATGATGCACTCTGAGCCAGACTTGGCGCAAGCGGTACATTCGGTCTGATTTTTGGGAACCACGCATCGTATTCTCCTGTCGCGACATGACGCACAGGCGACAGATGCACGGTGTCTTACTTGCTGCTTGCTTGTGTTACGCCCGGGGTTGCTTTTGGCAGATGATGTATTCTTGCTGCTTGGATCCAAATTAAGGGCATCTTTTGCATTGGCAGAAAGAGCCATGACGGCCAGCGCGCAGCTGAACGCAAATAGTACCGGAGCAGGCTGCCTGTTTGGGAGCCAAACGGGTCTCGTTCACCGAAACTGGACTGCGAATTGTCTGCGAGAGGTTTGATAAGGAGAAGAGTTTGGTTAGGAAGCGGAGTCGCAAAATGGGAGCTGGAACCTGGGCATTAGCCTGAGGCTAAAGCTTAGACCCTTCCCCACGTTATAATATTAAGCTAGCTATAGATTAAAGTAAAAGAAAAAGACTTTTATTTAAGATATATATATATAATTAAGTTTATATTATA